ATTTTCAATGAAAAGGTGTCGGCTACATTTTGAGGATCCCGCATATTACATTTCATATGACCCTGGTTAAAAAGTTGAATTCACAAATCAAAGCCTATTTGCCAATAAACTATTTTGATAGTTTCCACGTTGTGATTAATGATAATCCGTAAAATTTATAATAATGACACACAGACAAATCAGATATTCGGATTTATTCCATCATTTCGGAAATAAATTCTAAAAATCCGAAATATTTCGGAACTAAAAATTGGATTTCGCCCACAGCATTATCGAAGATTATATTAGTCAAGACTACTTCATCTGCGAGATTCAGTAAAAATACTCCAACCAACTTGATCAAGAAGCATATAACAATATCAACTTATTGATAAAAAACCAAAAGAATAGTAAGAAATCTATTTAATGTTCAATTCTATGGAAATATATATGAAAATAATTATTTTATGAATCTGAATTGATCCGTCAAGGCATCAGGATAATTTCTAGAGCAAACTATTACAAAAAACATGTTGGTTATAGTGAAATGTGGATAAAATAGTATTTACATGTTAATTAATGTATTAAAAAAAAATTTCGCAGATAAAAATTTTTAACCAGATAATAATCGGTGAATATCATTCATCGGAAAAGTTTTCCGAGTTCTGAATGGTGTTTATAGTAGAATTCACATTATTATCTGTTATATACGGAACATGTGTTGTGAGATTGCAATGAACCTTTAAATTTTCATAGCTGCTTATTTATTTCTTTATTTTCATTTCCATGAATGATGATGAATGAGCTTCAGGCCCTGTTTTGAAAAAGCAGAGGAAAATAAACACACCATTAACACAAAAAACCTTGTAGCAAATAAAATTAATCCTTAATGTCATTAATAAACTTTTAAAATAAAAACAAACCATTGTTTTATTTCCCATTCAAAGCGCTTTGGTAAAAGAAACAAATGGAGTGAGTGCCTTGGTAAAAATAGAAATGGGAAATTTCAAAATTCATGCGCATAAAGTGCCTCTCACATTTCTCATCACCATATCATTATTTTTCTGGATATAGTTAAAAATAGATATGGTCAGTGAAGTGTTCTCCAAAGGTTAATTGGAAATACTGATGGTGTTTTTGTAATCGTAAATGTAAGATTGTTGTTAAACAAGTTATTTAAGTTGTTTTGTAAATCGATCGGCCAGATAAAAAAAATAAATGACTGAAATAAATTGGTCGCAAATGAATAATAGGAAATTTATAGAAGTCTTTGAGCTTCGTAAAAGTGCCATTTTTATTTATTCGGTACCATTAAATGAGCTTACAGATTTCTAGGTGGAAGAAAGAGGCAGTAAGCAAGATTCAAAGTAGCTTCATTAACCAATTAATTGAATTATTTGCAATTTGTCCAAAAGTCAAGCCATAAATAACCAAAAGACTACCATTTAAAAAACCGTAAAAATTTTTTTATTATTTTCAAGTATTATAATTTAGCTTTAAGAAAAAAATAAAATAAAAAGATAGAATAAATCGATCCTTTCTTTTGCTATTTATTATTAATTTCCAATGAAATTTTATTCATCTTCAACATTTAAGATATGAGAATTAATATCAAGATTATCTAAAGAAGTATGATATGAATCTGAATGTAATTTGTATGCTTGTTGCAAAACACTACCACCACTAATAGTAGCATTATTACTAGAATCTAATGTTTATAAAGTAATTAAAAATGTGAATAAAAATATTGTTAATGAATAGTAATTTCCAATTAATTGATAATGAAATTTTTATTCATGAAAGCTAAAATCAAAATTATTTAACGAACTGTCATTAATTGTATAACTTTTAAAGCTTTTTGATCTAGCAATCTCTTCATTCAATATTCTACTTGTATGGTATGCATCTGGATGTGATTTGTGTACTTGTTGCAAATCACTAACACCAACACCAACACTGCTGCTGCTGCTGCTACAATCATTACCACGAATTTCCTTATGTTTATTATAAGCAAAGTCAAA